CATTCTTTCTTGGGTTTCATTCCCACACTTTCTTGGGTTTATCCCACTTCTCACATCATGCAGCAAGGGGGGGTGTTGAGGTTAAGCCTGCTAACATGATGTATCACCACAGTCTGGAGGTGCTGTGCAGTTGAACCTAGACCAGTAAGACCCAACTACCCTGGCAGCCACAAGCGTCTGTAGCCTAGTTGGTAAAGGCAGCACTCTAGTATGTGTCTCAGTTTAGCTGAGGTCGTGAGTTCGACTCTCACCAGACACATCTTCATTTTGTCTGTCTCTACACATTATAGCCAAATTCACTGCATGATGCTTCAAACACAACAATTGAAGTTATAAAAAGTTTTGTGTGTAGAAACTGGTATGATACATTCCAATACATCTTGCATAATATATGTTTGCATCATTGCTTGTGCTTTATCTCCCCAGTGTGGGGGGATCGAGAGGAGTTGAAACCTTTGGGTCCAATGCTGAGAGGTTTCAAGTTCAGAAAACATGATTTTTCTCACTTGTGTGGAAGATAAATAGGAGCATAATGGTTAGTATCTCTTTCTCCTTCAAGTGATCCCAAATGACACTAGCCTCAATTCCTAATTATAGCATGATTTTTCAGTTTTTAATCATTGGCTTATGTTGTGCCTCAGAAACCTTTGGGGCCTTTATTTCTTCAATTTCAAAGCTTGAAAATGAGGTGAACACCAGTGATACCATACCCAGACTCTGTGGTAAATATCTTTCCCACTACTGCTTATTTTCCCCCTTGCAAGTATTTAATCCTCATTTTGCCTATTCAATTCTGACTCCTTCATCAATCAATTTTGCTTTTAACAACTAAAAACTCAAAGCACTTCCATCTCTTAAAAAGGATGAAACCCCCTTGGAAAGAAGCTTATTCATTCAGTTGATTGAAGGGTATAAACACTACATAAACAAAATTTCTTGTGAAAAGCGTTAGTAAAATATGCAAGATAGATTAGGAATATCTGATAAAAAAGAGTTGAACTGATTGAAAATACTATCCTAAGGTTTGGAGGTGATTAAAAATTGGAAAAGAAATGAAGGTGCATTTTTCTTGTTTTTTGGACTGCCTAAAATCAATTGATGAACCTTTGAATATTCTTTCTTATAATACCAGCGGAATTGATGGTCCTATATCAAGATTCAGAAGATCTTCGTTCTCTCAGGTTGGATTTTGATAACCGGAGTACCAAATACTTAAATTTTTACTTTGTAGTGAAGACAAACAAGTTTTCCAAAAAATCAAAGCACATTATCTCAATATTCAAACAGCTGAAGTTGCTTGAGCTAGGTGGACTTGAATTGAGATTTGAAAACTCAAAACACTTAGCAGGACTACTCCAACAAGATGAAAATTTTGAAATTATTCAACACTTGCCTCCTGAAATTCTTCCAATAGTTGCAAAGCATTCATGGAGGAAGCTTGGGATGTCATATGTGAAGGAGATTATGGATTTTATGCTTGTATATCCTAAATATTTGAATGAGAAATTATTTTATACACCAGATCATCAATCAGTCCTTGCAGCAGTAGTGCCTTATGCATTCAAAATGATTGATTTTCTGTTCAAGAACAACTTTGTTGATCATGAAACTGTTAGGAAAATCTTCCAGAATAAAGAAATACTACGGATGACAGCATATTATAACTTCAATTATTTTCAAAAAGAAATCAATTATGGAATAAATACAGTTGCCACAGATGTTGATGATCTATGGTTCTGGCCTTTGAGGTTAAGCATTTTCAAACGTATGTTACATTCTTCTACAGAAAAGGTTATAAATGATTATGCTCATACTTTTTCCTGCACTGACTATCTATCTATCTACCTATCTATCTATCTTTATTCCTATCTCTCTTTATATCTGCATATTCAATGCATGAAAAAAACATAACCACAGAAATGAGTCAACAGGATGTGAGGAGAATGAATTTTGAAATATTTCATGAAAAGCTCTTCAATCTAATCTACCATAGCTATCCAAACCCAGACATGCAAGAGTGTAGAATACTCTGTGACCAATCTTTATCAGGTGGCAAGTACACGAAGAGATTTGAAGAAAATATGCTTATTGATAGTAGGAATTTTCAAATGAATCACAGCGGGTATAATAATGAAGAATTTGATGATCCAATGGATCTTGATCAGGAATCAAAACAGAATGAAGAATTTGAGGAGAATTTTTCATTTGAATATGAGGAAGATGTCAAAAATCTCTTGATCATTCGATCAAAGGTTGAAGCCCTAGATTTGGAAAAACACAAAGATAGAATTTATTATTCCTTTCTAAATAGACATGTTCATGAGCTTTTGTTTTTTATTGAGGAAAGGTTATGTCCAGGTATTGTCAAGAAAGTATCCAAGAAGTGGTTCACCAATGATCAAAACCATGAAGATAGGGTTTGGTTGGATCATACTTTGCTGAAAATTAATGACTTGAAGATTCTGGTAAAGGGACACCAGAATTTCACCAAAGATAAAAATAACATTTCGAATTATCCACAAATTGGAAACAAGCTTACACATCAATACTTCCATGATAAAGCCCTAAATCTTTATTCAAAATATCTCAGAATTTGCTCAAGGCTTGAATCTGAAAATAACAGCTGGTATATTTCCACTGGGAAAAAACACTTGTATCCCTGCTTGAATGATGGTGGTAAATTATTTTTTGAATATTTGGATAAGGAAGATGGTCATGATGAACACCTTAAAATCTTTTGGAGCAAGAATAATCTTACTTCTTAGTTGAAAATAGGCTTTGTAGAGGCTCAATTTCTGAAGAATACAACACAATACCCCCTTTTCTAAGTCCTGAGTTGAAATGTTGAAAATGGAAGCTTTTACAAATTACTAGTATTGATGATTTCCAGTTTATTATCTTCAACTTTTCACATATCATTCTCATTATCATACAGATTTATATTGGATGCAGCTTGTACCTGTTATATGGCTCTGGAATGGGTTCAACTTGAAATTAGATTCCTCTGAGCAGCTATTGGTATCACATAAAAGAATTTCCTTTGAAAGTTTTAGATTTTCTGCCCATGCCCAAATGAGAGCTTGTTCCATTTCTTTTCTTTTCTATTGTTTTCCCTTCATTCTTGTTCCTCAAGGAATCTTTCCACTCAAATCAAACCCTCTTTGTATGTTCATTTTAGTTGCTTCTTGCCAAAATACAACCATCATCTTTTCTGTGCCTATGAATTCCAGACCTGACCCATTCTAGAGAATTATAAGCAGTTGAGCACAAGTTCTGAGTACACACTCTTGGCTCCTCATTTTTAACTAGGGGGTTGGAAAAAAGACTCCCTAAAATTAGACGACGACTCCCATTTTGGTTGAGGGGTCGTTGGGCGGGAGTTGTTCCTCCAATTTGATGGCCGACTTTGGGAGTCTGCCATCCAATTATTTTTTAATTTCTTGGATTTTTAGGGATTCGGTGCTCCAAACCACCCCTCATGCTTGAGGGGGTTTGGGAGTCGCTCCCATAACCAGAAAGAAGCCATTCTGTCCTTGCGGTCAATGAGGATGCTGATTTTGCAAGGTTGAAAACGGGTTGACTGAGCAGTTGTGGACCTGACGGATTGTTTTCCTTGTTCAAGGGTGTTGTGGAATTGATCAGCCCCAAGAGCTCTTGCAGTTGTTCATTGATACCACATTTCTTGTTCCGCCAATTGACTTGGATGACATCAAACTTAGATCCCTCTAGCCAGTTTATGGTCTTCTCAATCAACTCTAAACAGTAATCCCCTTCTCCATTCAAATAGTCTCCGGCGTCAGACAGATCAACCTTGGCCTTGTACTTTTTGCTTGACAATTTCAGCTGTTGAATGAGATCACAGGAGCCACTAAAAACATTATGAATTTGCTCCAGAAAAAATGCTGTAAGATGATTATATAAGCTGTAGATCCTGAAGGGTTTGAACTCTTTCAGGTACTGGTAGTTTGTTTGGATCAATGCGGATGGCAGCGGTTCCAGACATAAAACATTGGTCGCAGAGAATATTTGATCCAAGATGGGATTGAGTTTGGCCTGGACCTCCAAGATTCAGTTGAATTGCAAGCCTGGGTCTTTTGTCAAGTTGTATGGGTTTGTTAGCTGTAAAATGATAATTATTTGTTGTTGAAGCTGGGGTAGAAGGCTTGATTGATTTTGTTTCTTGTCAACCGGAAGGAAATCCTTCCAGTCATGGGAGCGACCCCCAAACCCCCTCAAGCATGAGGGGTGGTTTGGAGCGCCAACTCCCTAAAAATCCAAAGAAAAAAATTAAAAAATTAGAAAGAAATTGGATGGCCGACTCCCAAAGTTGGCCATTGAATTGGAGGAATGAATCCCGCCCGATGACCCTTGACCAAAATGGGAGTTTTTGTCTAATTTTGAGGAGTTGTTTTTCCAACCCCCTTGAACTATACGGCCTTGGGTCCAGTTTTCCTGTGGGGAAATTCTTTGGTGGATCTGGACAGATAGCCTATAGGTAGCTGAAAGCAGGCCATTCCCATTCTTGAGATCAGGATGAAGGCGTGGAAATCATAATTTCTATGAGTCCAAACAAATTTTTCAACTCTCAATTCCACAAATTTCAAACATTTCTTTGCTTTTAGGTTTCTGGAAATGTTGAAAAGTAAAATTGACTAATACTATTGCAGGGTGCTTTGATATGTAATTTTTTTTTCAGCCTGAAATGAATCAATTGAAGAGTGTATCTTGACCTTCCCTGTTTTTTGGTTCAAAGAAGCCCCATTCATTTTATGAATGGGACAATCATGTGCTTATTCAACGTAAAAGAATTGAGTCAAAAAGACTGATACAATTTGAAAGAACGAGGTAAATTTCTTGAAAAGTGATCTATCTAATCTATACAAGTTGTTTTCAAAATTTTAACGGAGTTGAATTGGTTTTCACCAGAATTTGTATATTCACAGATGGACACTGACAATTAAAAATAAAGACAGTGATTTTGATAGAGAATAGTTCTTTGACTTTGAACAAAGGCAGATGTGCTTGAATGGTGCATTTTTGAATTGGAAGGCCCCTGGGAGAAATTTTGTTGTTGTTGACATGGGTGTTGATTGCTACAGAAACAGAACTGTCGAGTGTAAGGCCGCTCCTGATACCATCCAGTGGCAGGTAGGTGACTTGAAAATTATCGCAGGCTTCAGGTTTGTCGGCCGTTGCGGGGCGTGGTTGACTGAGACGACGTGTCTAAACTGTTGAATCATCAGTTGCTTTGTCTCCAACAATTTCGCCTTTGCCTATTGCTACAATGTAGGCCAGAATTGCTACCCCGTAGATTACAGTTGCATCTGCAGTCTGATAAACCAAACCTACAAACACCAAATCGTCTGTTAAATTGAATTCTTTGAAGGGCATTAAATCAGCCAACTACAATAATAAAGGAAACTGATTATACCAGCAAGGACTGCAGAAAAGCAGTAGAAGACCGTTTTAAACGTCAGATTCCGATATAGAAACGTTGCAGGAAGCACCGGCCATTCGAATAGGACGGTAAGTAGGCCACAAACCTACCATGAGTTGAAGCACAATGTTTTTGAGTATGAGGGTGAGAAAAACATGAAGAATATTAGCATCTGTCACGTACGATACAAGCTCCTTGAATGATTGGAAGCGTGACAATTAATTCAATGAATGGCGCCGCAAATCCCGGTGGACTTGTGGAGACAAGGAAGTAAGAATACACGCAGGTCAACCTTACTGTCATCGGTGAGGTAATAACAATCAGACTGGAAAACAGGGAGAGATATACTAACATTATACCAGCTGGCCCTAGTTTACCGCCAATGAAATCCCAAAAGTATTTCCGATAAAATAAACCCCACAAGGCTCCCCACAGGTTCCCTGGAGGAAAAAACAACCGGGCAGAGTCTCAGAATTAAGATGATTGAATTGATGAGAGGAAACGTTGGGCCCTTACAATAGCCAGCGGTAAGGGCGACTAGTCGTGCCCAATCACTCCAAATCAACTTGCCCATGTTATGGTCAAGAGTTCCAAAGGTGGACTCTATTTTCAGGATGAATGCCTACTCGTTGAATTCAGGAAAGTTTGATTTGATCCCCTGAAGAGATACCCTCTGGATCAAAAATGGTAATACTACACGAAAGAAAGGAAGGGTAAGAGATTAATGCACTAGAGATGCAAACAGGAATATCAAGGTAATCAAGAAAATCATGAATCAGTCAACAGAACAAAGCAAAAAATAGGCTACTTGCCTGAGTGCAAGGCAAGTCCACCAGAGTGCAAGAAGATAAGACTTACAGATTGAAGCAGGTAAATATGAAAGGCCTGTTTGTGCACCTTCCGTCATGGGCTTCAAAATAGGACCGCCAGCAGTCAAGAACCAAGGAGCAACAAGGAAAGAGGTCGGTGAGCTGAACTGAAACGCTACAGCTTCCGTCAGACGAGTTTCTTAGGGGGTCTCTGATCACCAGGATGAAAACGGATGACTGTACTCGATGGAAGGGAGTGGTAGACAAGGAAACGAGAAATTCGATAGGTTACTGAGTCGGCACAATGGCGAAGGGAAGGCAGGTGACCCGTCCAAGGGGGAGGCTGAGGGTCAGCACAAAGGAGGGGAAATCACAGTGGATTTATTGACAACATGAATTCCATCGCCCCTTGTCGGTCTCGATGGACCACATTGTAACTCATACTGCCTGAAGTCCTACTCAGCTGCTATGATCACAGGTAAAAGTGAAAGCCTAGGAAGATGACATAGTTTCCGAAGGCTTTTGGAAATCTGCCAACCGAAATTAAGCCAGCCTTGTGTAGCCAGCCCCTGGACGATGATTGGCTCGACGGTGAAACAAATGGGATACATGCATTGTACATATCTTGTTTGTAACCATCGGCGAAGTGATCCATGTCGTCAGGTTGGGTGGAATTAGTGGAACCACATCGAGATTATCGACATGGCGATATATACGATGTGTTCTATTTCCCGGGAGCAGTAGGGTGCACACCTCGGGGGACCCGATGCAATACCACTTACCAGAGATTCTTGGCGATGCAGTTGGTGTCGAGTCCGACCAAGTCTTGTCTGGAATGTGTATGTAACAAGTTCCTCTCCAATTGATCCAAGACATTCAAAGCTGGCCGCAAGTGAGGTCGATCGGAGACGGGCAGTACAATTCTGTACATTACAATACTGGCCATGATGAACGCAGAACGACGGGAGGAAGAACGGATGCTGCTGGAACCGAGACTTGGTTCGCTGACGTTGGACGGAGAGACCGGCGAGAGACTGGACCAATCGATGGCGATCTCGATGGTCGACCAGCTCAAGCAGTTGCTTATCAACTCACTCTCCTCCAAAGGTTCGGCCGAGAGCCGACTGGAAATTTCCAACCAGGTCGGTTCGATCTCATCACTAAACAGCAGCATACTCGAACCGCCGATAGATTGACCTGATCGCTTTCTAAAATAGGCTAATCTCTTGAAACAAACAGCCACGAAACTCGAACGACAGATCAAAGTTCTTACCGCCGGAGATCTCAGTCTACTCGACCAAGAAGAATTGATTTCGAGCCTAGAATCACGCATCCAGATCGAAAGGTACGCGTCGTCTCTCACCCATCAGTCCACCTCAACCCCTGGAAGAAGGGGGAAAAACGCGACATCATGAGAGAGAGACTTAGATCACACATGCTGAAAACAAGAACCTCGTAAAAAAGAGAAATACTCCAGTTTATGAGCGATACTTTACCGAGTAAAAAAGAGACAGCGACGACGACGAAACCAACACCGAGTGGGAATGCTGCTACAGACACATCAAGCTCCGAGCAGGTCCAGACGGACAACCTCCTAGAAACGTTCAACCGAACCAGTCAAAAGGATGGAAAGCAAGAAGACACCGGCATGGAAATGTGAAAAGGAAGGTGTGGAGGGATTAGCTGGGTAAATGCAGGATTTTCTTTTGCTTAGACAAATCTCGCCTCTAAACCCCATTTTGATCTTACAATCAAAGGAACATAGTTTTTTGGGGGGCGTGATCTTCGATCCACTGATTTACACCCACGTCTTCTTCTTATAGACCATGTAACTATCATCAAGCAAGAACCGGAAAAGACAGGTATTTATTTCCAGATCATGCGGCCTTCTCCCAAGTTTATTAGCATTCATTTCGTGTAGGAATATCTGCTTGAGCGAAAAAAAAAAGAAAAAGACAAGATATTTGTGTTTGCAGATGGCAGTTCTAATACTAATGGTTTCAAATGAGCACTACAGGGCCGTCCCAAAGGGCCAACAAATACGCTATTTGAGGGCCCTCATGTTCAGGCCGTAACTGGGGAAGCCGACTCAGAATAGAATTTTTCTCCAGCTCACGTTGAAAGAGGTGAATCATTTACTTCAAAGGGAGAAAATCTTGAATAATCACTATCCCTAGATCCCGTGCCCTGAACGCCTACGCCAAGCAATCGGGCCTTGGAAGATCCGGGTTGGAAAGACCGTATCTTCCAATTCTTCCCTCATCCGATCATTTTTTGTTTTTGTTTCGCATACTTTGATCAAAATTGATAATGGTCTGATTGCTTTCAAGAAAGCTACGCCTGACAGTGAAATGAGCTGATCGGCCTTTCTTCTGCATCACTCTCGTTCATGACCTGTCTTGTTCTGTTCTGCAATTGGGCCAAATTCACATCGAATTCCAGAGCCAGCCCTGCGCCCATAAATATACTACATACTGCACCCGAGACTACAACCTAAGCATGACCAAGTCAAACTCGGTCTGACTCGGTTTCCTGCTGAGCAGGAATCGACTGGACATCCCCCCCCCCGAATCCATGCTAAAGGCTGAGTATTACTACGGTTTCGGTCTGCTTCTGTATATGCATGCCGCTTGGATTTTCCTTTCACTGAGTTTAATTTTTTTGTCTCTGTAATTTGGAATTTTGGCTTGCCGACAATCCTACGTAGTTCAGCGTATACTTATAGTCCTAGTTGCACTGAGGTAGATGGAGCCAGGTGAAGCAGTAAGTATCATACTTGTCTGATAATTCCTGAAAAGACTTTGCAGGCATGACTGTCCAGTGTCTGATCGTCGGTCAGATGCAAGTATCAAGATTCCAACCAGCCTTGACAATGACACGCAGGTCTAACTATGCTAGGCAGCGAATCAGAAACACTAGCCCACGCAGCCATGAGGTCATCTTGACTATCTTGCCTGAGTCGCTTGTTTCGCATAGGGAAGGGGTCCGTTTTTTTATTTGTGTTCCAATTTCAGAAAAAGAGTAGGGACATTCATACGAGTACCAGTAGTTCTGTTGTCTCCGTCCATTCCAGAGGCTCAAGTCTCAAGATACTACTTCCTGTCAGAGAATGCTTCTCCAGTTTATGCTCATCAGTGTGTGGTCGGTCTCCGCTGCCTTTGGAGCCTTTGTTACATCAACTGTTCAAACTGCAGTGAAGAGCAGCGACCGTCGGCCCCCTCTCTGTGGTAAATATGTAGACTGAGTATGAAAAACAATCGCGGCTTACACTAACAATTGATTGATACATTATTCCCTCAATGGTGACTTTTACTTATTCATGGCTTACACCTCACACAACAAACACCAAAAGCAATCCCATCTCTCAGAGAAAAAAGCAAAACATCGGAACAAAGTCAGTTCACTTGGTTGACTCAAGAGCATCTCCAACTCCCTGTAGAGAAGATGTCTCCAGAAGAGGGTTAGTGAATTATGCAACTTGAACTGCGTCAATTAGAATATTCAAGGCTGATTAATATCCACATTTCAGAGTTGAGGCTAAGGAATAAATGGGCAGAAAACCAAAGTATTTCCTTCTGCTTTTTTTTCTAGTTCCTGGAATTATTGCCAGTGTGGTTGATTTTTTTTCTTAATGAATGTTAGCACAATTGGGAATTATTTTTCAAGATTCTGAGGAGCTCAAAAGGCTTCATGTGGCTCTTCATGAGGATGCTGGAGAATACAATGGCTATAGCTTTCTCAAGAAGGCAAGGAAAACATCCAAAAGATTAAAGAAAGTGACATCAATATTTAAACAGCTAAAATTACTTGAACTAGGTGGACTTAAACCAAAGTTTTCAAATTTTAAAAACCTGGAGGCACTTCTTAAACAAAGCAAAGAAGACGCTGAAATGATCAAAAAATTGCCTCCCCAAGCCTTTCCATTCATTGCAAAACATTCATGGAGGAAGCTTGGGAAATCATATGTGGATGAGCTTGAGGAATTAATAGTGCAATATTCATACTCTTATATTTCAGATATTCACCATAGAGGCAACCATAAAGGGGGATGTACAGTATTCCTTCCATATGCATTCAAAACAATTGATTTCTTTTTCAAGAATAACTTTGTTAATCAGGAAACTGTCAAAAACCTCTTCCAGAAACAAGAGATACTCAGGATGACAGCAAATTATAACTTTGATTATTTTGTTCCAAACATTCCATATGGTATCAATGAATTGACCACAGATTGTAATAAGCTCTGGTTCTGGCCTTTGAGGTTGAGCATATTCAAGGGTAAGTTTCATGTTTATTTCAATTCCAAAAAGAAAAACAAACCTCTTGTGATGCTCATCAATACTTCAATTTTGACAATCAAAATTAACATATATTATTAAAGAGATGAGTGAAAAGGATGAAAGGAGAATGAATTTTGAAACATTACATCAAAAACTCATTCAACTATTGTCTTATAACTACTTCAATCTTGGAATCAATGAATGTAGAAATATTCGTGAATCTCTTTTGAGTAGAAAATATCTTGATCAATTTAAATACATTGAAGAACCAAAAGAATCAATTTTATCACCTGGCCCAAACGGTCAAGTGGCTTCCAAAAATTACAATTATACAGAATTAGAAGATGATTACAAAAGTCTGTTGGAGCTTATGTTGAAATTGGAGGCTATGGAATCAGATGAATCTGAGAAAGGGAAATTTAGGGAATTTTTACGTATCCATGTCTATTGGCTTTTGGAATTTATTGAAGAAGAATTTTGTCCAGGTATTATGAAACAAACAACAGAAAGATGGTTTAAATCAATTGAAAACTTTGAAGACCAGATTTGTTTAGAGGGTACATCACTAAAAATAGATGATTTGAAGCTGTTGGTAAAAGGATATCAAATCTTCACCAAAGATAGCAAAAACATTCAGAAGTACCCACAAATCAACAAAGAATTCACTCATAAATATTTTCATGATAGAGCCATCAATATATATTCAGAATATCTCAAAATCTGCTCAAGGCTTGAGTCAAAGAACGATAGCTGGTATCTCTCCATGGGTAATGATTATTCTTATCCACGTTTGGATGATGGTGGAAAATTGTTTTTGAAATATCTGGATGATGATTTTGATTATGAAGATACAAAGGGGTTTTGGAGCAATTAACAAGAGTATGAAAACTTATTCATATTGTGAGACAGATATTTCCTTTTGATATGCTAATATGTCTTGTTGTTATCCATCACTTATCTTCACTTGTGGAAACAAGTTCCTGTAACCTTATCCCAAATTGATTTTCTCATGGAGTTCAGGCATGCACTTTGGAACTGACCAGTAAATTCATACATTGCTGGATTTTTGGATGCTTATGTAACTCATGTATTGTTGAAATGTTTGTCTGGAAATCTTCAGCCATTGACCAAAAATACGCTTGCACCTTTTTCTTCCTATGTGGAAAATTTGATGCAGAGAGCAGTATAGTTGTGTATTCAAGGGTTCATCTTGTCTTTAATCCCTTTGATCTCCATTTTAAAAATTCACAAAGAATCAAATTGGTTTTAATTTGGTTCATTGAATTTGAAAGGATGCAATTTTTGTGTAGAATTTAATGAAACAACAATGTTTCATAATTATTGAACCACACAATACAGGACCTAAAGACCTACATAGCCTGGGGTAAGGTGGGGCCAGCAGGGTCCTGTAACCAGTTATAATTCAATCAGTTGCCCTGCTCCAGATCCAAAAACACAACTGTGATTCCACAGGCGGATCTCAAGTCACTACAGTACAGACTTAATGAAATCTATACACAGGGGTTACTGGATTTTGCAACCTCATTTTAACATGGCACCAATCTTCCTAGGTTGATAACCTTCTGTAGTAGGCTGGTTGTTGGGCCAGGTATTACCTGGCTGGGGCGATGCATCTTTTGCAAAGTATGTCAACCTCCAAAGAAAAGCTTAAAAGTCATGGAAGGATTGTGACATGAACATCTCAGGCGGTCTGATTGGGGGCACATGTCTTGTTTTTTTATGAGCTTCTCTGTGAGACCTGTGGTAGTATAGTAATAAGGTATGCAACTCTTATAGTCACTTGATTAATAAGAATGCCATTTGGAAAAGCCTCCAGGAGTCCAGGGTCTCCTGAACGGTGCCTCTATCACGGAGAACCCTGGAGAACCCCTTCGGGACACGGGGGTCCCCGAGCCTATGACCCGTCTGTATCCAGGGAGTTGTGCAGGTGACGGTCAGGTCGGACTTGCAAACCTCAACAAAAACATGAACACGATGTATCAAGCGCTGTATCAACAGCTCGAAGCATTTGGCTATCAAGCAATCGATCGTGGTTTGATACCCGACTGGATCCTACGAAGACTGATCAGGTTCAGCTGTTCCCTGCGGATAAAGGAGCTGGACAGTCCATCACTAGAAGAACTCCATCGGCGCAAACTTTCCTTCATCGACAGTCTCCGATCGCTTCCTGTGGCCGTCCATCAAAGTATGCAATCATCTTTTCTTCTGTTATTGGTATACTTTTCTGACAAATGTTTTCCATATCTTGTGACAACAGAAAGTGCAAATGAACAACATTACGAGGTATTTACTCATGCCTTCTGTCTAGTTCCTGAATGTACAAGCTGGAATCAGACTGATTTTGATTCTCTTCCTTGTGCAGATCCCCACGGAGTTAATGAAATCATGTTTGGGAGAGTTCATGAAGTACAGCTGCTGTTATTTTCCCAACATGAACGAGAGCCTCGACGAAGGGGAAATCTTGATGCTTCAAGATTATTGCAAAAAGGCTAAACTCGAAGATGGATTAGAGATCTTGGATTTGGGCTGTGGTTGGGGCAGCCTGTCGCTTTTTTTGGCTCAGGTTCTTGATTATTCCCTTCGTCTGTCTCATTTTGCTCATCTCTAACGGAACTTCAATCTGATTTCCATAAATATGTTCTATCTGCTACCAAAGAAATATCCCAACTCCCGGATCACAGCTCTCAGCAATAGTCGCACTCAGAAAATCCACATCGATCAAGTCGCAAAACGAAGAGAATTGAAAAACTTGACCGTCCTGACGGACGATGTGATGGTCTTCGATTTCCCTTCTGATCATGCTAGGTAAAACTCTACACCGGGCGTCACATCAAGTTATCCTGAAAGACCAACACATCATTTAGTTAAAGCTCCTTCTTTGTAGGTTCGATCGTGTCATTTCCATCGAAATGCTTGAGCATATGAGTGAGTCACAAGCATTCGTGATTTCCTAGATTCTTCTGATATTCATGCTTGATTTGTTACTAGAAAATTACGAATTTCTGTTCAAGAAGGTATCCACTTGGCTAAAACCTGAAGGTCTATTTTTCGCCCACATTTTTTGCCACAAAGACCAACCGTAAGCATTCCCACTTCCTTTTAACTCATGCATGTTCAATACACAAAATCTGATTGGAGATTCGGGAATGATTGAACCAAACAGGTACCATTTTGAAGAAAAAGATGGCTGGATGGCCCAGAATTTCTTCTCGGGAGGAACTATGCCTTCTTTAGACCTATTTGCGTACTTCCAACGGGACTTAAATCTGGAACATTCCTGGTTTATCAATGGTACTCATTACGCAAGGACCGCTGAGTTGTGGCTCAATAAGCTTGACCAAGCCCGGAGCGTTTGGACGAGTGAGAATCAGATGCTTCAGGTCATGAAGATTCAAGAGCTAGATGAAGAATCCGCGACCAAGGAGATATATAGGAATTTTTTCAAATTTCGCACGTTCTTCTTGGCAGTTGTAAGTCACTTGACTTTCATAATCGATTTATTTCATTACATACATTATATTCATCAATCCATCTAAATTCTTTTTGATCATCAATCAACAGGCTGAATTCTTTGGGCTTAATGAGGGTCAAACTTGGGGTGTTGGTCATTACCTCTTCTCGAAGAAAACCCTACCTACAAAAATAAAAGATTAATCCTCCTGTCTGTCTTTTTAAAGCAAAACGTAAGCTATACCAATATACATACTAACTTATTCCAATAGATATACAGCAATATACAAAAGTGAAGATTTATGTCTGTAAAATATGTTATTTATTTGGCTCAAGATTAATATACATATCATGTCTCTTCAGGCAATATGTGTTTTTTTGACACATCAAACAAATTGTCTTGAGATTGATTGATTGATGCATCTCAAAACAAATGCACTCCAGCTATCGTCCTACAACAGGAGCCAAGACCAAAGTGGTGCCGTCATAATTATACTCGACAATAAGAAGCTGAACACTCACACCAGAACATGGTATGATGGGGGTTGGTCAAACCCCGTACAGAAAACTTTAAGATGAACAAGATCACTGCTTTCTACGCAGAAGCAGGTCTTGAAAGTCTATAAGTATCATCCACCCGTGGTTGGATGCGAATCGGTAAAATACGAATCAAAACGGTTGTAGTGTACTGCCCAGTGAGATTTTCCGTGCATGAAGTTTGCATCGGCAGATTTGCACCTTGAGCTCGAAGGCTCTTCACTTCCATTAACACTTCTGTGTGATATTTGAACCCTTGTCAGTTGGCTCGACTCTCTTTACCTCATAATCTACGAATTCATCACAAGTCAGTTATCTCGACCAGTTTCCAAGTCCACTACCATAACATCTCAGGCTCTTGTGCCTATCGCTCGGCGTCATAGTCTGTTCTTTGTTTTTTCTCAGAGAATCGCTCTGAATTCTCTCAACTAATTATTGGTGTTGTCTACTCGTCTAGCTTATGGACCAATCAGTTGCAAAGGAAGGGCGTCTGCCTCCAGATAATACGGCAAGGCAGTTTTATGGGGCTATCAAGGCCCATGAGAAAATTCTATCTCACTTCCTTGAGGCTGAATGTGAAACGCTCGAGATGGAACTAGACAAAAGATCCTCCAATGAGAAATCACCCAATTTCTTACCTTGCGGGCATGATTATAACAAGGGTAATGTTTGCGGAGCCAAGAACTATTCCGAGTGATGATGTCGATAATTCAGATGAGTGGAAATTGAAGATTAAGTGGATACAGCATCCTCAGAGGGGCCATCGCATGTTAACATTATAACCACCCATCGGTGATACCATAGTTTCCTGGCTAGCGGGGTTCATGATAGCTTCTCGCAAGAAGCGATTTCTTCTCGCGCGAGAAACCGCAGCACTGCTGCAGGCTTAAAATTTAGCGCAGAACTTAAAATTTTCGCTGGGAAAATTGACATCAGCAATGCGCGAGCAAGAAAAAAAAATAACGGGTGCGAGAAGCGAAAAACGCTATCGTGAACTCCGCTGCTGTCTTTGTTATGTTCCGCCAGATTCCATGTTGCGCCTGGCTTTTCTCTCGGCTATCTACACATGAGCATGAGAAAGCAGCCGGTCAAATTCGGTGCTGGGGTCAAGTTGTTCTTGTTCAGCCTAATTAACGTTTGTCATACCCAGGTCTTTCGTAAAACCAGCTGGAGCCTGGGACTCGGCTGCAATCAGCTAGTCCTTTTCTTGACTTCTCGTGCCTTCCTCCTCTCTATGGCACTGCAAATTTTCCACACGAGATCAGAAAAATCATCAATGGTTGGTCAAAAGCCGTGTGTGCCTTAGTCCACGAAATGAGCAACTACATAACGAACATAACCTGGCAAAACCTGCTATGGTGAACCAGGCTGTGCGTCCTGCAGTTTCCTTTCCAGATAAAATGCCTCAATTTTGTCCTTCTGGAAGGGGCAACAGGCCAGCCCCCCCGTGGAGCGAAACGTGACGGGATGCCCATTGCCTTTGCGGAGTTGTTTCGGAGACCCATTAATTCAACCAAGTCAAATGTGCCCGCGAAAGAGGTCAGTTGAGCTACAAATACAGGGACAAACTCCTCTTGAACCAAGTTCCGACAACTCCGAGGGCAAAGGAGTATGAATTCCACCAGTTTGTGAGATTAGCCGGCGAGCTCCCGGTCAGTCAAAGAGTGACAGGAAATGAGCGGGCGTGCGGGTAGATGTTCGGACCCCGCAAGGTTTTTCGCGAGGTCCGCTCCAGACAAGGGGGGGGGGAGGGGGGAATTTTACATCGTGCACCTTAGCACACAAGTAACAAACCGGCGATCGCGCAACAGCATGTCGGCCTAGAACTTTGTGGCAAGGATTGGAAATGGCAGGCAGTATTCCGGGTTGAACTGGACATTGTCGCAGTTGTTGCGCTTTCTCTAGTCACTCCTTTGGAAAAAAGAACTCACCTTGCCCTGATTCCGCTTGTGCGCATTGTATGAGACAGGCCGGAAAGCTGGACTCAATACCAGCTTCATATGTATTGAGCCAGGCTCTTTGGTCTTTGAACTAACGGGTCCCGATTATAATCTTTCCTCTCAGTTCACTCCTAAGCTCTGGCCCTTGCAAGCCATCCTATCCAATCGGTGGTAGCCAGTTTGTTTCAGAATCCATCATAGGCAGGATGGATGGAGGCAAGGCCTGGCTCGCACTGGTGACTGAGGGCATCAGCAGTGGGAGTCTTACCCTCCGGCGTTTTCTATAAATGCTCGACCCCCGAGCGTGCTAAGGGCCTATCTCCCACCAACACATCCCATCATTTACAGCCTTTGGAAACCGATTTCTATTTCCCCCACCCCAACCTTTATCCGTTAGTTCCTTCCTTCGCCCGTAATCAAAAACTCATTCAACCATGCGTCTCCCTTACGTTGTTGCTGGGCTGATCGCCTTCAGTGGTGAGTAATTCGGTTTAGGATTCATTGGCTTCCTGACATCTTTTACTAACCTTTTTCCCCCGTCTCTTATCCTCCGTCTAATCGTTCTGCCGATTCTTAGCGAGTGTCTCGGAGCCACGCGTTGTTGCGCCTCATGCCAACTCACTCATCTCGAGAAGAGTCCCAGCCGAGCTTGTTTCCGTCACCCCGACGAAAGAGGACCGGGAGGCTTCTGAAGCCAACAAGCCCGACTCGGATGACTCCGAAGGCAATGGCCGGGTTCATGCCAGTGTCCATGAAGCCTCTGATGTCCGCCCAGGGTCCTCCAAATCGGTCTTCAGGACCATCATCCCCGGAACGCAGTCCTCATCCGGCCCTCAGGGGGATAGCTATACCAGGCAACCCGCTTCCTCGGACAAGGCCTTGCCGACCGAAGGCCTCACCCACCTGATCAAACAGGTCACCAAGGGTGATGACCACTCCGAGAAAGAGCACGCTCCTTCAGCAAAGGTCGAAGTTCATCCCCCACAGCCTGCGGCCGCCCTGCTCAGAGCCATCGAGCATTTTCGCGATGAAGTGACCCATGATGTCCCATCCCAAATCCCGGGCGACATTCCTTCCCCCACTCACTTGGTCACACCAGCCATCTCCAAGCTGCCGCTCCATCAGTCAGCTCATGACGGTGATCAGCAAGAGAGCACCTTCCCTCCTTTGCCCCAAGTCGCCAAAGCGGTTCAATCAGTCGTTGCACAAAACCCTGGAGGTTCGCGCAACGCAGACCCAACTAGTGTGATCAGCCCAGTCATCTCTAATCTGCCGGTGCTCGGCGACGGAAACGCCGGCCCTCTTAGCAGCGTGCCGGTCGTCGGTGGTACACACTCCCTTCCAGTTCCATCCACCCTGGCCAATCGAGTCCTGTCTGACTTGCCGGTTGGCAATGGAGGCTCCGGCGCTCCTCTCACCCACTCTCTCCCAGTTGACCCAACCACCTACGTCAGCCCGGTCATTTCAAACTTGCCAGTGGGCCAGTCAGCCGGCAACGGAAGTCCCCTGCCAGTAGACCCATCCGCTCTGGTCAGCCCAGTCATCTCGAATCTGCCCATCGGTCAATCCGCCGGTGGCGGAAGCCCCGGTTCTCCATTGGATTCCCTTCCAGTCGACCCGTCCAACTTGATCAATCGAGTCTCCTCCCATTTGCCAGGTGCCGGTGGTGCCGGATCCCCATTGAGCTCTCTTCCAGTAGACCCGACCACCTTGGTCAGCCCGGTCATCTCGCACTTACCAGTAGGCCAGTCAGCCGGCAACGGCAGTTCCGGCTCGCCTCTGAGCTCTCTTCCAGTGGACCCATCCACCTTGGTCAGCCCAGTCATCTCCAACCTGCCTATCGGCCAAACTTCCGGCAACGGAAGCTCCGGTTCTCCCTTGAGCTCTCTTCCAGTCGACCCGTCCAGCTTGGTCAATCGAGTCTCCTCAGGTTTGCCAGGTGGTGGTGACGGCAACTCCGGATCCCCATTGGGCTCTCTTCCAGTAGACCCATCTACCTTAGTTGAGCCGGTCATCTCGAGCTTGCCAGTTGGCCAGTCATCGGGTAACGGCAGTCCTGGTTCGCCTCTGAGCTCTCTTCCAGTAGACCCATCTGCCTTGGTCACTCCAGTCCTCTCCAGTCTTCCCATCGGCCAGTCCGCCGGTAGCGGAAGCCCTGGTTCGCCCTTAGACTCCCTACCAGTCGACCCGTCCAACTTGATCAATCGAGTCTCCTCTCATTTGCCAGGTGCTGGTGGTGCCGGATCGCCATTGAGCTCCCCTCCGGTAGACCCATCCACACTGGTTAGCCCGATCATTTCGAACTTGCCAGTTGGCCAGTCCGCCGGTGACAGCAGTTCCGGATCTCCTCTGGGCTCTCTTCCAGTAGACCCATCCACCCTGGTCACCCCGATCATCTCCAACCTGCCAGTAACTCAAGGCGGTGGCTCTCCTTTGGACTCTCTTCCGGTAGACCCGTCAAATGTGGCCAATCAAGTTATCTCAAACTTGCCGGTACCCGGTACCGGAAGCTCTGGTTCGCCTTTGAACTCTCTCCCAGTTGACCCATCCAACCTGGCTAGTCGAGTGATTTCCAACTTGCCGGTACCCGGCGGCGACGGCAGCTCCGGCTCCCCGCTGAACTCCCTCCCAGTCGACCCATCCAACTTGGCCAGCAAAGTCATCTCAAACTTACCCGTCGGTGACGGAAACTCTGGCTCCCCTTTGAGCGCTCTTCCAGTGGACCCGGCAAACTTGGCCAGTGGCGTCATTTCAAACTTGCCTGTGTCTCCAGCAGCTGGCAGCTTGATTCCCGGATCTCCTTTGAATTCTCTTCCAGTTGACCCGTCAACCTTGGCCAACCAGGTTGTCTCAAACTTACCGGTCGGCCAATCCACTGGTGACGGCAGCTATGGCTCCCCTTTGAGCTCTCTCCCAGTTGACCCATTGAACTCTCTACCAGTGGACCCAGCCAACTTAGCCAGTCGAGTCATCTCAAACCTGCCAGTTCCCCAAGCGCCCGGAAGCGGCAGTCCTGGATCCCCCTTGAATTCTCTCCCAGTCGACCCCTCAAACTTGGCCAACCAAGTTGTCTCAAACTTACCCGTCGGCCAATCCACTGGTGACGGCAGCTATGGTTCCCCTTTGAATTCTCTTCCAGCAGACCCATTGAACTCTCTCCCAGTCGACCCAGCCAACTTAGCCAGCCGAGTCATCTCAAATCTGCCAGTACCCCAAGCCACCGGTAGCGGGATTCCTGGATCTCCCTTGAGCTCACTCCCGGTCGATCCGGCAAACTTGGCTAGTCATGTAGTCTCAAACTTGCCCGTCGGTCAATCAGCTGGAGACGGTAGCTCCCCCTTGAGCTCTCTTCCCGTGGACCCATCGACCTTGGTCACCCCGATCATCTCGAACTTGCCAGTTGCCCAACAAGCGGGCAACGCAATCCCCGGATCTCCCTTGAGCTCCCTTCCAGTCGACCCAACCAACTTGGCTAGTCGAGTCATTTCAAACTTGCCGGTCGGTCAATCAACTGGTGACGGTAGCTCCGGCTCTCCCTTGAGTTCCCTTCCAGTCGACCCGACAAACTTGATTAGCCCGGTCCTCTCAAATTTGCCAGTCGCTCAGTCAGCCGGTAACGGTTCCACGTCCCCTCTGAGCTCTCTCCCTGTTGACCCATCCAACTTGGTCAGCCCGGTAACCTCTCACTTGCCATTGGGCCAATCGGCTGGTGGTGCAGGCCTCCCAATCGACCCATCCAACTTAGTCAATCGAGTTGCCTCAAACTTACCTGGAGCTCAAGCATCCGCCGGTGCAAGCGCTCCGGTCAACCCATCCAACTTGGTTCACCCGGTCCTCTCAAACCTACCAATCGGTCAACCCGCCGTCGGAGTAAACTCTGGAGCTTCTTCCCTTCCAGTACCGATCGTCTCTCACTTAGTCCAGCCTGTTTTTGGAGCCGTCTCCAACTCGCCCATCTCTAGCTTACCCATCCACAACAGCAAGCACAGTGATCACTACTGATCCTTCCGCTTCATTCTCTACTCTTTCTCTTCCAGACAATCGAGCCTTCTATGATTTCTTCGTTTCTTTGCTTCTCTTCTTTCTCGTCTTACTTCTTCCTTTTGCTCTACTTTTTCTTGTCGTCTTCTCTCTTCTTAACATTCTCTTCGTTCTCTCGCCCTTTTCATTCTTTTATTGCTCTGGCCTGTTGTCCTATCGTATGCGTCTAATATCTTGTAATGTTCTGTTTGTTCTCGTTGCCTTTCTCAAAAGAAAACCCTAATAATTACAATCATCATTCCAAGTCCAACTATCTAATTTTGATCCACTCCTTGGTCTCTTTTACCAGTGTTTCTTCTTTTGGTCGTGTCTAAGGTGAGGTGAGACAATGACCTGCTCTGTAGGTATTACTGGGTGCAGCTAGGAACTGGTGGCAACAGCTTTCAATGTCTTAAACCAAGCCAGCCAACTGTTGAGGTGGTATATTGAGATTGCACATTTTGTCAGGCAGGCTAGCAAGCAATTGTGGGAGGCCAGCATCCATTCCAGTTGGTCGCTGGATTTCAAAAGGCCATCGGAAGTTTTTGATATGTAATACCTGTGCGCAAGCCATGCCGAGTTCAACCTGAATTTGATCCAAACTGCATCCTCGTCCACACCATTGAAGCGAAAACTATGACAGTCTCAACGTCATGAGCTCTTTTGCAAGCCAACACGGGTTTCAACCCGCCAGCTCTGCATTTGCCAGATACAAGGGTTCGAGATGGGACACCGGGCAAGAAGGTCGAAGCAGTCATCAGCCGCTCGATCGAGAAGCTAGCTCCGAACTGTGAGGGCAATCGTCTCTCTCAATCTCACCTACGGGTCAATGTAGTGTAATCTTATCTTCTCGTCATCCACATTTTTTTTTCTTCTCATACTTGATCTGTTTAATTGAGGGCTTGTTGTAGGACTTCCTCTCCCCTTTAAGTGAAATGTGTAATCGTGTTTCTACTGCTCTGTTGCTATAATTGGGCACAACTGGGATCGGTGGCAACAGCTTTCAAGCTGTCGCAATGAACCAACTCGACCAGGCCAGCCAAACCGTTGAGATGGCATTTTAAAATCGCAAATCCCAGCAGGCCGGTCACTGAAAAATCCAGGCTACAGCCAAATTTCACACCTACATCGCAAGAATTATCAAACCTTTTCTTGATTTTATTTTACAATTACTTTGATTTTGATCGGATCACCAAAAATAAAAGTAAACAAACAGGCACCTTTCCTTTCCTTTTCTTTTTTCGTGTACCGATCAAACAAACTGTTTTTTCATTACAAACTAACTCACAGGCGTCTGTAACGTCGAAAAAAAAAAAAGAAACTGAAAACGGAAATTGATTTAGATGATGACAATCATCATCATCAAATTACAAAAAAAAAAGAGAAAGTTAAAAGAAACAGGAGCACCAAGACAACATGAACGTATTTGAATCTTTCCAGAGATGAAAGTCGGGGGTGTCGATCGAGAAGGGAGTGCAAGCATTATTTGAGTGAGAGGTTGTTCAACATGGACACAAATCAATATGGTTGTTGATGATAATGTTGCTGGAACTGTTGTTGGTATTGTTGTTGCTGGAGGTGTTGCTGTTGGAATTGTTGGTGCTGATGGAGTTGCGGGTGTTGTTGTTGCGGTTGTTGTAGCGGCTGTTGTTGTTGAGGTTGAAGCGGCTGTTGTTGTGGTTGTTGATATTGAGGTGGTGGTTGCTGATGGGGTGATGGTTGTATATTTTGGTCTTCATGATTGGATTCAGATCCAGAAGAAGAGTCATCCGAGTTCCGCTCCGGGTTGGGAGGACGTTGAGGTAAGGGGACTTCTCGAGGTTTCCCATTTTCATCCACCAAACCTTTATTTTGTTTTCCACATAATGTACGAAAAGAAGAAGACTTTAGTCCAAGTGTTTTTATCGATCTCGTCAACCCCAAATTTTAATCTTTACTCACATTGGAAGACGTGATCGAAATAATCCTGTAATTCATCCGCTTGGACATAAACATAAGATTCCGTCTCTATTAAGAAAACATCAGTTTGTTGATCGTTTGATTTGCAAGTCATCCGACTGTGAGTTTGTTTGAACAACATACCGTTATAAATCCTCGCATTGTCGAACATCAAGTAAACATCATCTTTAAATTGTTTTAGAGATTTGTACTTAGATGTCATGTTTTTATTGATTTGTTTCATCGAAATAGGTTTCTTTATGATTTGATAATCTATCTCAATTTTCCGAAGAAAAAAAAAGCATTTGTATGGGACAACAGAAATCAGTATAATACTCTTGTGAGATAAATCCGCGCCACGATAACTAATTCCAAGAAAAGGAGAGGGTGAGGGGAGAAGGAGAAGACACTCAACAATCCACAAACTGTTTACGATTGACCAAATCCATAAACAAATTAATCCTTCGTTCACCCGATTCAGGTGCGATCGGTTTCATCAATGCATCATAACATTCTCTCATCACCTTTCGCAACGAGTTCAGTACTGCATCTTCTTCTCCACCATTTCCATGTGCGTTTTTCCTCTTCTTATTCGAAAGTGGCTTGTTCGTCAAACGGAAAATAAGTAGCGAGAAAACGAAAATTTGTAAGTTGATCGAAATTGAAATCTACGAGAACAAGAAGAGGTGAATGTGGGGTATTCTGAAGGGTTGAACTTACCTTTCGGACTCCGCGTTCTGAATCGCCATCAACAGAATCGTCGATTCCGACTTGACTCCCGCCAAGGATCCTTTTACGTTTACGATTAGGTTCGGGGGAATGACTGAACTGATTGGTCGACGAATTTGCACGACTGAGTTTGGAGGACCGACCGTTGCCTCTGCCATTGCCAACAAAATCATCATCCTCTTCATCTTCTTCCTCCTCATCCTCCTCTCCCTCTTCTTCCCCACTCTCGTTCCCTCCTCGTTTCTTCATCTTATTGGCCTGTCGAATCGCTCGTCTTCCTCTCTTCTTCGCAATCACTTCCGTCAAGTCTTCTTCGTTCTCGACTGCTTCTAAAAACTGTTCTTCCGTCAATCCTGTCGATCCGAAAAAGCAGCATTAGTTGATCATTATCTAACATAAATACCCAATGATCATTTTCAGAAGGAATTTTCCAGATCACTCACCATCATCATAATGGACCGCATTTCGATTTCGAGCCTTTCGGCCCCCACCTTCTTCCTCCTCCTCAGCGGCATTTGGATCAAAAACGATAGGAGCGATATCCTTAGAATATACAGTGGGTAACTCTTCAACAGTCATCAGTCTTTCGGGTAGTGGCTTGCCAGCCTGTCCCTCAGCCGTCGTGGCCCATTGTTGAAGCGCTTCAGCTGTTCGCTCGCGATCCATCTCCGTAAAGATTTCGAACTCTTCGTCCGATCTCTTCAACATTTCATTCAGCTCTTCGTCCCCTGATGATTACCATCCAAGAAATCGAGGCAACCTGTTGGTAAGCTGGTCATGCTCGCTAAAGATTGATAGAGAAGGTCATTTACCTAGTTCATTATCACCTTCTTCTTCATTATCTTCGTCTTCCAAAAGTTCTCTCAAGAACATTTCTCGTTCTTCAGCAGAACTTTTATGATCGAAGCGACCAGCTTGGATGACTTTTTTATCCATGTCCAACTTGAACTGAGCTTTGCTCATGATATGTTCTTCGACACTCTTACTCGTGATAAGTCTGAGGACCCGGACTTCCTTCTTTTGACCGATCCGATGAGCACGATCTTGGGCTTGAAGATCCTGATGGGGGTTCCAATCGGAATCGAAGATGATCACCGTATCGGCCGTTTGAAGATTCAATCCTAAGCCTCCAGCTCGAGTCGAGAGGATAAATAGATTGATCCCACATTCGGGATGGTTGAAGGTCTTCAATAGTTCCGCTCGCTCTTCGGGCTTCGTCATTCCATCCAGCCGAAGGTTTTTGATCCCACGGTAAGCGCAGTAATCTTGGAAGATGTCCATGACTTGAGTCATTTGGAAAAACATCAACACCTGTTTTTTGTCATTATATAAATCAGTAACCTGAACCAACCCGAGTCTCAGATGAAGAAAAAAAAAACTGAACTCGATGACCCGTTCTAAACAATTTCGGCAATACTCGATCCAACAGCTCGAATTTACCTGCTGCTCGCCAGAGGGTATCATTTGTAGGTTTGTGAGGGCCGTTGATGGTCCTTTCGACTTCCTCGAAGGTGAACGGATGATTGCAGATTTTCTTGAGCTGCATGATGACGTTCTGCAAGCCCCTCATAACTCCACCTGTCCCACTGCTCCCCTTCGCCGTATTGGTAGCATTATCGACATCCGTCCAAATCATCTTATGGACCTTCATCTGATTGGTCAGCTTCAATTGGAGGCCGGACATCTTGCACTTGATCACCCTCTCTACCTTGTCCGGCAGTTCGCTCTCCACATCTTTCTTCAATCGACGTAAGAGGAATGGCCGCAACACTTTGTGTAAACGACGGATGACTAGGATGGCCTCCTCTTCGTTCAGTTCGATCTTATCTTGACCACCGGTATTGGCGAAGAGAGTATTGAACCATTCATCGAACGATTTGACCGAGTTGAATACCTTGGGTAACACAAAGTTTAACAACGCCCATAATTCAGGCAGATTGTTCTGAAGCGGTGTACCAGTGAGAATCAAGCGATAACGCGATTGGTAGTGCGTCGTCAGAGTCAGTGAGAGCTTCGATTGTGAGTTTTTCATTCGATGTCCCCTGTTTTATGAACGTAAAGTGAACGGTCAAAAACAATCGATCAACGTGCACAAAGAGCGGAATGTGACTTACTCGTCGATGATCATATGCACCCATTTGATCTTACATAGCATTGGACGATCTTTGATGATATATTCATATGTGGTCAACAAGACCTCGAATTGTCCTTGACGGATTTGAAGCTGAAGTTGTTTTCGAACGTTGGGTGAGCCCTTGTAGACGACCACTTTGACGGTTGGGGCCCACTTCTCGAATTCTAGAGTCCAGTTGGGTAGGGTCGATAGTGGGACGATGACCAGGTAGGGGCCAGGTTGTTTCTTGTTTTCCATCAGCCAGGTAATGAGGGAAATCGTTTGGATCGTCTTTCCGAGACCCTAAAAGATGTGAAACGTATCTGCTCTCAATATCCCGTTTTCCTTAAAAAATCGAAGTAGAGATGAAGGAAGAATTACCATTTCATCTGCAAGAATTCCGTTGAGTCGATTGTTATAAAGCGAGACCATCCATTGAAGACCCTTGATCTGATACTCCTTCAATTGACCGCCGGTGAGCAGGGAGCTCTGTTTGGTGACCTCCTCCTTGATCCGATGAGCTACGTTGTAATAGTCGGCCTTGCCACCTTCAGCCGTTGCGGCCTGGTTTGCAGCTGCTCTATCGTCATCGAAGACGGGTGCAGCACCGAATGCACTCTCATCGATTGTCGCACCAGTTTGATCTTGTTCGACATGAATCTGACCATCCCTGTGGACGGCGTCGTTCTGTTGTTGGAGGACTGCATGACTCAGATTTTCGAGGTATTGATCGGTCTGTCTGAGCAGATGCGTGATTCGAGTATCCTTGGCGGTATCGATCAGTTTCAGGTAGGCCTCTTCATCATCAGCCTTGAGGGCTTTCAATCTCTCCTTACTCAATCGTTCGATCCTTCGTTGCTCTTCCTTCTCAGCTTCGACATGGAACTTGATCACCGATTTGCCGAATCTGGATAGGAGCTCTTTGGATTCGAGATGAGCTGACTTGAACTTGATCGAATGAGATTGGATGGATGAGATATGATCTAAATGTTTCTGTTTCAGTTTTTGTTCTCGGTCTAACTTCTGTCTTCGTTCGATCTGTTCGGTTTGGCGGGCATCCCTCAGGAATAGCTTTTTAGGTCGCCTGTGTGCGGCTCGATCGACTACTAAGTTCAACTTGGTGGCTTGATTGATCCCAGTGATCATCTCCTCCCTCAACTCCTTTTGTTTCTGTAATAACCTCAAAGATTTGATTTCGATTAGAGCCTTTAATTTTTGATTGGTTTGGGGGTTGGTTGTTGTTGATGATGATGATGATGATGAAGTGGGATGGTCTTGATGAGTGGATGTGGATCGATCTTGAGGATCGCTGGTTGAATGATCGGGTAGATTGGCGGTGAAGGATTCGAGTTCGTTGAGTCTCCATTTGATCCTGGTTTCGATCAATTTATCCCTCTGATATTTCAAGGTGTAGGGGTCTAAGCCGGTAGGTAGTAAGCTGGGTAGGGACCAGGTCCTAGGTTGATAGTAGGGTGGTATGGATGCCGAGGATTGTAGCTCGTTATTGGAGATGTTGTTCTTGAGTACAGTGATTGGCTCGACGAAGCTGCTATAGGTTAGATTGTTCGCTGTTATTGGTGCTGCTGCTGCTGATGATGATGGTTCGAAGTGAATCTGTTGTTGGTTGTGGTTTGGATGGTTGTTGTCGGATAGTGATAGGTTTCTTGATAGTTTCTTGGTTGCTAGTATGTGGTTTCAAATCTGATTGAATTGGTTTGGGTCGATGGTGATTGGGTTTGTTGATGGGATCTGATGTGGATAATATCCATTTGTCGGTTTGTTGTTGTTTGTCGACATTTTGGTTATTTTCATTTTTGATTTTTTTTTTTGTCGATAGGATGTTTGTCGGCTGGTTCTCGCTGGAGCAGGAGGAGAGAGTAAACTGTGAAGGTTGCGCGTCTCAACGAAAACCAGGGGGAGGGAGGGGGTCCAACGGGGAGAAGAAGTAACTCCGACTCGGGTGGGAGTGACCGCTGCTGACCGCGCATCGGGGGATCATGCGGGCTGACTCGCTTTCAAGTTTAATCCTGATGAACTTTCACTCCTCTTCCACTTTCCTC